TAAATTACAGCCAGTATCTAATTTGTTATAAATACAACAGTAATTTTCTACTAAATGTTTGTAAAACTGATCAACTAGTCTCGTTTTTATACCCCTGACACAGATTGGTAATCGATTAATTATAAATTAATCTTTTAATTTTATGTTTGTTTATAAAACTGTTTAATTATTATGAAATTGTTTTTTATACATATATTATTTCATCGCAAAAAAGACGGGCGTACATTATGGGCGCTGTCTTAGGTTTTTTTTACTATTTTTGATTTTTACTTGTATGTAGTGAATGGTTGGAATGTACTCAATCAAAATAACAAACATGTTGTTGTTTTACGCTTTGCCTTTGTCTATGCATTATAATATGAAAAGAATAATAGTACGTAAAGTCACGCATTGTCTATGGAATTTTACGAATGAAATCACATTTGCATAGATTAATAATACATTAGACTATTTGTTGATTATGTATTTGTGTTTAGAATTTCATAAACAGTCAAGTACGTTTCAATTCTTACAAGAAACCGTAGATCTTGAGAATTAGATGAAAAGATACATTACATCTCTTAAGAGATAGGGTCGAATGGTTAGAAGTTATAAATGTGATGTTAAGTTACTAGTAATCATGAGCTTCCACTACACGCTTGAATTTTCACACTACAAAATTTTCTCTGCTATATTTCTTGTATTTTTGTAGAGAGAAGTTGTGCAGCGTGCTGCCGGCGCGTGCGCAGGGCTACATGTGGTCGCTGGCGTTCAGCACCAGCCAGCACGGCTTCTCGCTCGCCTCCATGTATCGCAAGATGCAACGCGTCGACAGCCCCGTGCTGCTCGTCATACAGGACACGGATAACAACGTTAGTATACCAGAGATTAACCTTTTTATTTATGGTTGAGCCCTTACAGAAATCTACTAGTCTCGGTGCATCCTACATTCTTATAACTAGTGTACTTTCAGTTTTTATCTTTCTGGTGTACAAGAGAACTTGGCTGAATTTTTGGAAAGTTTTCCGACTTTGTTAAAGTAAGTTTTATAATGTACAAAATGACCTTTACCGAAATGAGATAAACGAGTGCAATCATTGTTTATTTTTCTCTTGAAGGTATTAAATTATAAATTATTTTATTTTCAATCCAATTGCGTTCTACGATAATAGATATCAATAAGTAAATATTTTCAAGTGGAGACAATTACGATGTGTTAACTGTTTTTTCATTAAATATCATTTGCTTCACCAAATGCAACTTGATCAAAGTCTTCTCTATGTAACATTTCATACATTTTAAAACACACGATAAATTAACCTATCTCGAAATAATTAAATCTGCAATACAACTGACATTTATATATTTATATCCAGTTTATAATAGGTCTTCGAAATGTTATTATATTTTGAAACGAAATATTCTCTCTGTCTTTATCATGAATGGTTCATTGAATTGAATGAACTAATAAAGCGAAATAAATAACAAACATCACTTTGTTTAACAGAATCTCAAAACAATTTTTAACTCAATGATTGTTGTTTCAAATGTTGAAGTTAAATATTGGTTGAAATTTTCAGTTATCTAGTCATAACATAGCAAGTAAAGTTTTATTTATAATAAACTATAGATCTTTTTCTCAGCATAAATGATAGTTAACTAGACGTTATAAATCATAAACAACTTACGCAGCAAATAAATAAAATACCCAGGCGCCTAGACTCGTAATTGTTTTTAATGAAGTTTTTATAGCAATCGACTGAACACAACGTTAATACTTCAACGTGATGTAAAAAGTACAATAAAATGTATAGGTACATGTACATATACATATACGCAAACAAAACAATACGAATGTTGATTAAATATGTTGGAATTCGTTACGTTTTCGTTTCTTTATGGTAGTACATACCTTTCAGTATAGAATTGAATTATTTAATATTCAAGAAACATTCGACTTTAGTATTTTGAGCGCATCGACAGTCAAGGTTTTTTGAAAGGCGTCGAAGAGAAAATACGGTGTCAAACGCGATAGTTGTTTATCGGCCAGTTGTTGTGCATAAATCGTTTTATGGCTTCATTATCAACAAGTAGGTTATACGACTTGTTTTTCTCA